GGTGGTAACTGTTTTTGCAAAACAGCGGACACATTTTGACTCATGCTTATCTTTTCATTACCCTTTAGTTTCCTTTTATTAGTACAAAGCTCTTTCAAAAACTTAGCATATCTAGGAACTTGCTTAATTGCATCTAATAAAGGGATGTTTACCTGAACTTTTCGAAATGTGTCAAGGATCTCCTTCTCTTCGTTCTCCCGCTTTGTCTTCTCGAACCGGCTCGGGAATGGCGGTGCTTAAATTATCACTTTGGGTGTCTTCTTCTTTGCCTCCTCTTCTCTGACATCCTTTGCACCCGAAGTGGATGTCTTGACCTCTAACTCTTCTTCTTCCTCGTGAACCTTTTCCTTCTTCTTCTTTTCAACCTCTTGAAGCTCCTTTCCGCTTCTCAAAGTGACAGCACTCACATTTGCCTTCAGATTCATCTCCGTTTGAGATGGCAATTTACCTTTGTTTGCTAATTGGCCAACGGTGGCCTGAAGGTCCTGAATGCTCGCTTGAGTTTCCTGTTGAAATTTCACCATGTTAGTAGCCATAGACTTAACTAAATCCTCTAATGACGTACCTGAGCCACTAGGAGCTTGAGGTGACACTTGATGTTGATGTTGAGCTCTCGGCTAAAATGGTGCCTTCGGTTGATGTTGTTGCTGAAATCCGGGCGGTGCTTGGAATTGTTGAGGTTGAAATTGTTGAGGTGGTTGGAATGAAGCTCTTTGCTGAAATTGCTGCCCTTGTCCTTGTCCTTGTCCTTGCCTTGGGGCATAGCTTAGATTTGGATGTTGCCTCCAACCGGGATTGTATGTGCTCGAGAAAGGGTCGGGAGCCCGGTTGTTTGAGTTCTGAAAGTTGCCACCCCCAATGGCATTCACTTGCTCTTCTTCTTCATGTAAAGTCGGGCATGCATCGGTGGGGTGTGCCACTGATGAGCAAAATCCACATGCCTTGAGTTGAGGCATATTACCCATGGCAAGCTGTTTCACAAGGTTAGTTAAATCAGTTATTTTAGTGTCTAAAGATTTAACATGTACCTCACTAGTGCCTCGACTAATGTCACTCCAGACTCCAAATTTCTTGGAATTTTCCGCTATGGTGTCTATCAAGGTCCTTGCTTGAGTTGGCGTCTTGTTCACTATAGCTCCTCCACTCGTAGCATCCATCATCTTTCTTTCCATCGGTAGCAAACCTTCATAAAAATATTGAATTAGTAATTCATCAGAAATTCCATGTTGAGGACAACTTACACAAAGGCGCTTGAAGCGCTCCCAATACTCGTATAAAGACTCCATGTCCTTCTGCTTGATCCCACCGATCTCTCTTCTAAGCCCGGCGGCTTTGGATGCAGGAAAATACTTGTCGAGGAATGCTCTCGCCATTTGCGCCCAAGTGGTGATGGATCTCGGCGGTAAGTAGAAAAGCCACTCCCTAGCTGCGTCAACTAGGGAGAATGGAAATGCCTTTAGCTTGAGATTCTCTACCGTCGTGCCTTGCGGCTTCATCCCCAAGCATACCATGTGGAACTCGGTCATATGCTTGTACGGGTCTTCGTTAGCTAAACCATGAAAACGAGGTAGTAAGTGTATTAAACCAGTTTTAAGTTCAGCACTTACCTCTTCCGGCGGATAAGTAATGCAAAGAGGTTGCTCGGCAACGTTGGGTGCTGCCCATTCCCTTAAAGTGCGTTCGGGATTCGCCATTTCCTCTTCAGTCTCGATGATCGGTTCTTCTTGCTCAGAATGAGGTTTCTCTTCTTCGTCCTCCATTTGGTCTTCTGAATCGGATGACAACTCAATATCTTTCCAAATATTGAGAACCGGTGAAGA